TTCAGTCATTTATTGTCTTTATTTATCAATTAAAATACGTTTCGGTGTATTTTTCCACCATCATCAGTTTTTCTAAAATAACATAGTTAAAAAAAAAACAATCACAGTTCGTCAACAGCCTCATCATATCACACATTAAAATACATCACAATTGCAACACTTTAAAACATTCTAAAATTAATTAGGCCTAACAGGTGATTAGTCAGGACAATCAAATTTGGGAAGAGACTAGAATTCTTTGTTCAGATACTTAAATATTTTTACTTAGACACGCCTAATGTGATTTACAAAATAGACTGTTTGAATTGTGATAACACATACATCGGTCAAACAGGACAATATATAAAGAAGACAATATACGAACATAAGTATAGCCTAAGAAAAAATAGCGAAGCATGCACAACAGAAGTTGCATAATTTTGATTTTGATAACACAAAAATACTGATTAACGAGAGTAATTATAATAAGAGTATCTGAACGAAGAATTCTAGTCTCTTCCCAAATTTGATTGTCCTGACTAATCATCTGTTAGGCCTAATTAATTCTAGAATGTTTTAAATTTAATGTGTGATATGATGAGGCTGTTGAACTGTGATTGTTTTTTAAATTAATGAAAATTTTTTTTTGACTATGTTATTTTATAAAAACTGATGCACCGAAACGTATTTTAATTGATAAATAAAGACAATAAATGACTGAAACCCAGGAATTAACTTTGATTTGGAATTGAAACACAGTCAGGAAAGTATATACAATTATAATGAGACATAAAATTGCATAAAATCTACTTTAATAATAAACTGTTTGAAACAGATCACAGCAGTAGATCATCATCCTTATCACCCTCTATAAACGTAGTCTTACACAAAAATTTGGTATTTCTATATTAAAACTAATAGTATTTATTCCCGCATCAGAGCTCGTAGTTGTCAAGCCCTTTAAGATAAGGCTTAATATAAAATTGCTTCAACAGCATTTTAAGAAAGGAGTTTGCGTTGTGCATGGAATTACATGGATCCTGAATCTGGAAGGATAAAAACCATGTTTGAAGTAGACCAACAAAAACCCACGGTAGTCGAAAAAGTTTTCGATTATTTGAACTTGTACAGCTTATAATTTGTTGCATAAACTTGAGAAATCGGGGAAAAAGTACTTAAAGATGTTTTGCATTTTTTTCAACTCATCAAGTTTCTAATATCCGAGGAATGAGAAGTTTGCAAAAATTGGTTCTTCAACTCCTATGTTTATCTAAATTGAATGGAGCCTACTACTATTTACCTTGGCTAATGCAACTTCCGCACAATCTTTAATTTTTCCTTGAGATTGTCCAAAATCCAGTCCCAATAGAACCTTCGGACACTCGGTGTTTCCACCGGGTGTCCCAATAGCACAGGCCGCATTTGCCGCTAGGCGAACCTTTTGCGAGCTACCTTTGATATCCGGCAACTGCGCCAGGACATAGCCCGCCATTGCACGACAAATAAATCTAAAACTAGTCAAAAATATTAGACTAGATAATTATTGATCCTGGCTTATTGTTCCATACTTCAGACTTATTGCCTCAGTCTTGCTTAACCCGATTGCGGTCAGTAACCCTCTGCCCCAGTTGTTCGGACTAGCCTCTTCAGCTATCCGCAACAGAATGCGGCAGAATCTTCGCAACAGCCCACCAGTGGCACCTTCATCTTTTACACAATGGTGCAAAGCAAGATTTACAACGGCAAACCAAAGAAGTGGCATTTTGGACTCTAAGTCATGGCTGCAACAATGAAAAACACTTGCATATTGCAACGGAGGGAAATTAATACAAACAGCAAACTACCGCAGCTTGATCCTCTCCAACCAACCCAGGCAATGATTGAGCAAATTCTCTAGATCTGCGTTTTTATAGACCCTTTGTAGCAATACCACGTTTAGGGTAAGTATAAATCCTTCGACCAGTAATGCTTGCTCAAAATCCACAGGTTTTGCGGGACAAATATTCACAATTGTGCTCACTTTTCTCCATGTTGGCGGCTCCTCGGAATTGCCTCCAATAACTACAACAAAGGTACTTATAGTTTGACGACGGAAAAAAACTACTAGACAGTTTCATTGAGTTTGCGGCAACTCACCATTAGTATTAAAATAACTAGTTAATGTTGCCTCATACAAGGTACCTAAATGCTTGTAATCAGTTATAGTCGTGCCCATAGTTTTCAAGAACGCTTTAATAGTAATTTCGCTGGTTTTGTTTTCCACCCATCTGATAAGAACATTCAGTACGATTTCGGAAATTTCCGAAATATTTACAGCAGATAATATTTCCTTTAGAAGCAGTTCCATTTCATCTGCGGCTGTGACTACACAGTCCAAATCGTTCAAGTAACCTAAAATTGAGTCGAATGTGATCGGGTGCTGTGCAACACTGGATAGAGAATAGATAACAACATTCGCTTTACTCACCATTTATTATCACTCGCACATTGTCTTCCCTTATGTTATGTAAACTCTTGTTTCTGCTTATGTGCACCGAAAGCAATTTTGTGTGGGCTCGGACATATATCTGTCTTTTGCTCCTCAGCTCCATAGATAAATCAGGCCAGCTCTTATTATAACCCGAAACTAGCTTGAGCAGGCTAAAAATTGCAAACATTTCATAGCCATTATATGGTTTATACATTTTTGAAACCCCGTCACTTTCTATACAAGCATAGTGCCTTACCAAAGAAGCCTGTAGTCTAAATCAAGAACGTCATTTTTGAAAATAACGTTAGTATTGCACGACATCACAACCCAGTCCATTATATGCTGAAACCCGACTGGCTCCAAATGGGCCCAGTCGAAATTCTCCGCCTGAATCAAGATCGCCCTAACCTTCACCAAATGGTCCATTCGCACCTTCGGCTCCACGGACAATTTGACCAATAGGCTCAAGAAACAATAGTAAACTCGGTTTTTTATTTGAGCAGGAGCGTCTGCAAAGCTGTTCATCCAATTGACCCATGGAATCGACATAAAAATGTACCCCAAGAAAGAATGGCATTCGGGCAAGTATTGGTCAATGACCTGCAATAAGGAGAAGCGATTGTTAATGGGATAATTAGATAGTGCTGAGTTAACCATTTACCCGCAACATAAATTCCAAATCGATCATGGATGGCCAGAATTTGTTCCAGGGAAATGCTATAAACGCATTGTGGACCGGAATTAAGATGTATTCTTTTACCGATGTGTGCGCAAATGAAGAAGCATACCACTGGAAGACGTAACTTAGAATGTTGAAGGACGCTAGAAAAGGCAAACAAAAAGATGTAAATTGCATCATTATCTAAATGCCTTTTCGGCCTACCTGGTAAAGCATCCAGGAGAAAGTGAATACATTCACAAAAGCATCGCAACATCTTTTCAGCAGATTCTCGGTCGGCTGGAATCCATGGAAGAAGCACTGATCGATCGTCGGCCAACTGTTGAATCCAATTGGCCATATTATCTTTTAGACTATTGACGGAATATGGGATTAACCATGGCGCAAACATGTCTCTGATATACGGCCAAATTTGCTCGCTCAATTTGTCGCCTGAGAAACTCACTGTTGAAAATTCGGATCCTTTTACATATGAAAATTCCTTTACCTAATAATCCCTGGTGAGTGTTCAACATGCTAACAATTAATCCATGTCCAGCCATGCCTAACATGAGAGCGAATATATCGACATACTTTCGACACTTCGGGAATAAGCCATACAGTCCATAACTTAGTCTTTCCTCAGTGAAATGCCGCGAAAACAGTGAGCAAGTTTCCAGAAGTTCTTGATGAGATAAAACTTTTTGGTACTGTGAGTACTGTCTCAGCTGTTCTCTATAAGTGATCGAAATCATGTAATGCACAATCTTTTCATCAGAAATAGTTACATTTAATTTACAAATATGATGCCTTTCCTAAACAAACATTCCTTTTTTTACAAACTTCTTTTTGGGTACTTTGCCTCAAAAATTTTTATGTCGCAGGATACCCTCTAGGTGATAGTTCTTGATTACTTTTTGATAAATAATTCGTTCTTATTGCGAAATAGGAGCACTATTTATCAATCTGTAATAAAAGACGTGAGGAAATTCTGTCTTTTTTGAAGACAAAAATTTTTGAGGCAAAATACCCAAAAAGAAGTTTATAAAAAAATGAATCCGCCTCAACAATATAAAACTTATCTAAAACCTTCATTTAATATGCATTCTTCACTCACCTGAGAGGAGCCTTCGGAGATATTCTCGACGGCTTTGCCAGAGAATTAAGAATGTCGATCCACACGGATTCAGCAATTAGATTATTTTCTGGAGTGCCATTACTGCTTTTTAACAGTTCTATGATAATTTCCCCATAATGTTCCGGAAACTCAAATTCAAACACTGAAACAAAAAAGTTTGTTATTCATTTTACCTGTCGTAAGAAGTAACTCTTTATAAAGAAAACGGCATTTTACCCGTGACTAAATGTTTCCGGTACAACCCATGAAGCGTAAGCGTATCAACTGGCGGATCGTATCCCAGAATAGAGAGGGCCTGAATGATATTACCGATAAACTGAGTTCTTTGGCTCAAATTAGGGGTTTTTTGGTTCAGCCACGATTCCACATCAAACTAAAATATAAAAATCAGTACGTCGTTGCAAATATTTGGATTTCTGGATAAGTTTCACTATTCCTGCAACGCTACCTTTGAAATGAGCGCGAAAACAACATCGTACTTCTTAGACATTTGATGAATTATAGTGGAATACATCAGCAGAATATTTGCGCTGTCGCAATTCTTCGGCAAGAAATAGGGCGCAAGATATTCCCCTAGACTGGGCTCCTTTAAAATCAACTGAAGCAGTCTGAAATGCTATGGGTTTCCAAGGCTTTCTTTAGGCTGAATAATTTAAATCACCTTGGCATTTCACTTTCAACGCCGCAAATATGCGATTGTCCCAGTTTCTCAATGCAACTCACAAATAAGGACCTGGCTGGTAAATATAGAACGATGTCATCTTGTAGGAACGCCAACAAATGATAAAAAAGTTCCACTCCTAATTCGGCCAGTTCTGGGTTGGTTTTCACACGTTCTTGAAGAACGCTACAAGTAGAGTTAGCGAATTGCCTTCAAAGAGATTAGAGCAGAAAATGTTGACTCTTAGTTACTTACCGGATACACTGCTGAATAGCTACTGAAGCTGTATATAAGGCAACAGGTGGCATTTGCAACGACTTTTCAAGAAGCGATTCGTAAGCTTGCCTATTAACCAATATTTCATGATCGACCCGCTCATTTTGCTTGGCTTCCTGAAACAATCAGAAGCAGATAATAAAAATTAATCTCCACCAAATGGAAACATCAACTTGCCTGAAATTCTATAACAATCATAGCAGGTCCAGAGCAGAGAATGGCTGAGTCTTGTTGCCTGTTGCCTTTGCAAGGAACCGGTTTGCAAACGCGCTTCATTACAGAAGTAAACAGTTGCGGTATCAGCTCTTGGTAGGCGCCATCGAGAGCTTTTTGTTCTGATTGGTTTCGCCCATTATTACTAATCCGAACAAATCAAACGTAGTTGTTTCGATAATTCGCTTACAACCATCTACTACTCACTGGGCAAACTGACTCAATGTTTTGAAGCATGGCTGAAGCGACTTGAGCATGGATTCCTTGTTGGAAATATCTATCACTGGCACCAATACCCTTTTTCGCGTAAGCTCGGGTGCCGGTTTTACTACGTCGTAGGAGCCCAACCTAGTTATTCAAAAATTGCAATTGGAAGTTCTATTTTTTAGAGATTGCCTACCTGCGAATTATTCTTTCGGCAGGGTCCACGCTTTCAATGCTTCGACCAGGATTGGATAGCGGCCTGTTAAAGGAGGATTTCTCTCGAAAGTTCGCAATTCGCCATTGCTTCATAGCCCCAGATTGATCGCTTGATATTTGATTGTAATTCACACATTCATACCAGGCTACCTGAAATTGAGTCTTTTAGTATGCTATTTCCATCGTAGTGCTACGCCGTATTAATAGTTAAAAAGCTTACTTTACTACTTTCGTGGATTATCAAGGCCAACCGCTTGGAATCGTACTGAGCGGGTAAACTTTGCAACAGTAAATTGGATGTCTGCAGTCTGGGCTCTTCCAGCCACAAAAGGAATGCTTCAAATAGGCTAAAATCCCCCAGTAATGATATATTATTGAAAGCATCAACGTTACTTAAGGGCGTTTTACAGTCGGCAATTTTAGTGCCCGCAACTTTCTTGCGGCTATATTTTTAGTACTCCGCTTTACAGTGCATAGAGTAAGTATTATTTACTTTCTCTTGTTACAGTGTGCAATGTTAAACTTCACATTTAGACAAATCCATCAAGCGTACCAACTATTCACAATACGTAAAAAAATCCAAAGTTTTTTGTTTGTTCTGTTTTCGTTTGAGGTTACAATCGTATTACCAAGGAAATTATTGTGATTAACATAAGTTGTAGTTTATTTCGATGAAAAACGAAAATAAGCAAATATGCCAGTGCTGCTGATTTATATTACTATGAACGAACAGTTGGCAGCATGAAAAGTACCGGAAGTCACTAAAATTGCGGCTAGCTGCAAGAAATTTTAGGTACTATACTAAACTATAGCCGGCAAGAGCAATAAAAGTTGCCGGCAACTCGAAAACTGATGAAATGCGCAAGCGTAGAACGAAATATTGCGGGCAATAAAAATTGCCGACTGTAAAACGGCCTTAAACTTACCGATATCGCAGTTGGTAAAACTGTTTTAGGTCTGGATCAGGTACGTCACTTGCAGCTTCGATCTGATTTCGAAAATGATCAACACTTTCTTGTAGGCGTCTCTTCAACCGCTTTAAGAAGGCAAAATTTACCATACCATCGAAAAAGCGTTCTCCTATGCAGTTTTTGCCGGTTGAACTGAAAAAATTGCCAATCTTAGTTAAAGCTAAGTAATTAATTGGATAAGTGTGGTGCAGTACTGACTCAGCTACTGGCAGTCGATCTAAGAATAATATGAAGAACTTTTGCCAAAATAGGGGCAACAGTGGATGATCCAATGGAGTGTCTAGAGCCTGTTGAGACCAGCGGTAGATTGAAAGGTAGCTCGAACTGAAAGTGGATATTTTCAGCGTGGAAGTGGCGTTCTAAAACAACAGAAACACACGTGCATGTTAATGATGAAAATCAGTAGCAAAAGCTTCGCAATTTAGCTTCATAATCGTGTTAAATGAGACGGACTAGAAATAATCGACTACGGATCGAATAGTTCGATGGTTTCCATCGCTAATTACAACTATGGAATTATTCGATAGCCCCCTTCACTAGCCAAGATCCACCAAAGAAGAAGAATAATAGTGTTAATACCTTGATTGCATTATCCACGCTAATTTTTCCTTTTTGTTCCGAGAGCTCTTTCAAAACTTCCATCCATAGAGCAGTCTTCACTTCTTTGACTTGGTGCTCGACCTCGAGAAAGATGAATGCCAGCCATGGATATTGAGCCAATGAGTTCTGAATCAAACTGTATCCAGACTTGCCACCGCTTGACGCCCACTTGAACCTGCTGATTAGTGAAGCTGATTCTTGTGGCGTTGTGGTCTAAAATCAAACACACAAATTCGAATATTAGTTGGTTCCGACGAGTTCACTGGTTAATCGTACTTGATATAAATCCCAGAGGTTTTCATAAATAACTTGCAAACCATTTTCATAGAAAAACGTCCCTCTAACTATAACATCTAGCAAATATAACACGCCGTTATCTTTACTCCAGTTCGGAATGGACACCAGTGAATTCATCCACAAACGGACCTAAAACGCAAATCATTTTTAAATCTCTGGTTTCGAGAAAATCTTAGCTTCTTACCAGCAGCCTGGGAGTTCGCAAATCATACGCCGCATAATTAACTATCTGCGTTTCAACCATGTTTCCGAACTGCTGCAGCACCGTATTTTGAGTGACTATGAAACTTTTGGCATACGATATATAGCCTCTATCGGCATTCAATAGATTGACCAAAATGTCCTGAAATGTGTTGCTGTTGATGAGACACTCCTGGCATGTAATGAAAATGGGCACGATTTGGTAAAGAGCAAATAAAACCGCTTCATGTTTTTGATGCGACTGCAGCACAATCAGTTGCTTCAACCCGTTGCTGCAGATTAGAGGGACTAGGTGACCCCATGTGGTCATTAGAACTGCTACAAAACTAGCCAGCGGTTGATTGTCTCGAACTCCTAAGACACAATAACGTTAACGCTACTAACTGTACATAAATAAAACAAAAAGCCGTTTCAAATGGCATGCACCTTTCAGTAATACGTCGCATCTTTCTATTTCTTGAACGCGCCCCAGTTCTTCAAAGTGGCGGTCGCTGATGTGCAGCTTTAAACGTAGAATCGTTTGCCACCCCCACTGCAAATATATGTTAATGTGATTGTTCGTTCACTTGCAACATTACGCACTTGTAAATAGGAAGGTTCTTGATCAACAGCTTTTAAAACTAGAATGGCAGTGGCACAATGTTTCTCATATGAAAGGAGGTCCCAGTTCAGTCGCGACAGTACCATGCGAGCTAACTTAGTCTGGTTGCTGCCAGCAGGGTAATTTAATAAGAGCCTAAAATAAATGGAAAAGTTGTCTTTTCAAGCCTGGGCTCTCCATCAACGTTTACCCTTTTTCTTACCGTTCAATTATGCTGAAATCCTCCTCAGCTAAGTTCCATATGGATAATGGAATGTCTTCGTATAAATACAAAACAAGACTGCCTATCTTGTCTACATTTTCTTGAACTTTTTTCAGGATCGCCGACAATAAGCTTGGATGCTTGGACAGCAGATGAGATAGTAAAATTCTCGACGACTTTGAACAGGACTCCTGAGTAAGTTGGGAAACAAAACCCACCTAAAATATTGTATAGATAATTTTTGTATTTTATAGAAAATTTTTTAGAAGATTTTATAGAAAATTTATATAGATTTCAAGATTTCCAGCTTGGGCCGGACTAACTCAAATTGCTACCTGCAAAATATCCATGGTACACGAATATATAAAATCCACGTCCGAGCCACTTCTAGCCAAAGCCATGTTTGCGAAAGTGTTCAGCAAATAATACACTTCAGCGTCATCTAAGCTAGTCAGCTTGTCTTCGAAATGGTCCCGCAAATCCTTCTCCCAAACCATCTTTTTAAAGTCGCTTTCCAATGAGAAGTTGATAATGTCGTCGGCTTTTTCATCGGGCATGTGCAAAATGTAATAGATTTTCCACAAAGTTCGGGTAGACACTACGTTGTAGGGTACTACAGCAAGAAACTGCCATCCTCGGAGCTTTTGCGAAGAGTAAAGATAGTAGATGGCGCGTAGAAATAGGGCATCGTACTCGGCTTGCAGTCTTTGGTGCATCGCTCTGTCTAGAATATATTCCCTCTAGAAAAAAATTAATTCTTACCGCTGAGTTTACTGAAGTTGTCCTAAATAACACTTAAAATATGCAAAGAGATCTTTAGAGGGTGTGCTCGAATTGCAAGCTGAGGGTCATTTGAGAGACTTCACGCGGTATCGAAATTACGGCCCGGTCCCTCTTTGTTGGACATATTGGTGGATGCGCAGCATGTACATATACCAGTCAAAAGAAAGATGCCTGGTATTATTTCAAGATCGAAGTGGATTATCTCACTCGCTTTAATATCTCTTTCGTCTTAAGCGAAAGATAAACAACGCGCATAACAGGAAAATACAAAACATAAATAATAATTGTATACTTTGCTGACTGTGTTTCAATTCCAAATCAAAATTCATTCCTGGGTTTCAGTCATTTATTGTCTCTATTTATCAATCAAAATACGTTTCGGTGTATTTTTCCACCATCATCAGTTTTTATGTGTA